GCCCCCCCCCCCCCGCACTTGCTCCCAATGGCGTGATATCCTCTGAGTGGTGTGACGGGTCTCGGAACTCGCTCTAGCTCTGGCTCCTTGCTCCCTCTCTGTTGCGGAGGAGGGATCGAGAGTCTCTGGGGGTCAGAAGGTGGAGGGCACACTCACACATTATTACGCAGGCAGCAGGGCGACACTAAGGTATTTAAAAAATGTTAATTGTAGAAAGGAGTTCTTGGTTCGCGATACAGCAGTCGACTTCATCCATGTACCAAGCCCAACGGGCGCTTTGTTTCTGTGCTTCTCACGAACCATACCACGAATCTCATCTCTATCCGTCTTTCGCTGTTTATTTTGTCGGGTTTTCTTGTGCTGTGCGGCATCCTGAGCGGGTTGAGACGCGGGACAACGCCAGAAAAGAATAATAAAAAGGAACACGAGGGGGGCCACAGAATATTTTCGAAATAAAACCTACCTGGCATAATTTTTTGTCTTAATGATGTCCCCGTTGTGAAAATTGCCAACTCGGAACAGACTCATGGCACCGATATACCAACTACTGCCGCATTCTGGTGTTGAGACGGTTTCAAGGTTGGCCAAGCTGCGGAGCCTACTTTCCCACGTGGTCGACCGAAGCAGAAGTGGAAATTCCAAACCAGGATGCAAACAAAGCGCACAGGACTAAAGTACAGCAGTGGGCACACCACCGCCAAGAAAATGCAACCACAGCAAGAGTTGGCCGTTCGAGAGGATGCCACAATCGACGGGAACTACTTGATTCGCTTGGACACTGGAAATTATTGGAGTCTGTAAATACACAACGCAAGCCTCTCACACTGAGATATCAATGCGATCACTGGTGTGCTGTCTTGCTCAGTCAGCCGAATTCTTTCGACAAGGTGGCACTACAGCAGCACTGTTGTAAGGTGCTGCTCCAGACCCCAAGCCTGAGCGCTCCCATTTTCTGTGTCGGTGGCTTCTCTCTGGGCTGAAGTTTGGGTGTCCCCAACATCGTCACAACGGTTCGGTGGGATGGTCGCAAGAACGTGGAAACGGTTGCTGTTTTCTGCAAAAACAAAATGGGGAATGTCTGTGTGTCAAGGATGTCGCAAAGAAGAACATGGCGCATTCTAGGTGCAGCCTTGTTGACAATCCTGTAATACGGGCTCCCCCCTGAGCCTTTGAACAAAGACACGAGTGGTTTTCCATTAAAGCACGTGAGAGTGAGCAGGCACAGCAGCAGCACCTCAAGGAACCACCACCTTTGCAGTAACACGGCCGAGGATACGGACGATACAACGGCAGCCGGTTGAACTCAGTTTACCGAGGGGTGTCCCACCAGTTGTTGAGGAAAAGATCCAAAGCATTTCCATGTCCCAGCGATTGAGCCAAAAGCTAATACTAGCGACCATGAGGTAGTCCATGTAGTGCCGGCGGCCGAGCTCGGTTTAGGTGGGCGTTGCCTTCTACAAAAGTCGGAGCCCTGGGTCAGGTTTCAGCAATGTGATGGCTCGTTCCAGTGAGAGCTGGTTACATCCGGTGCTGACAAAACGGAGCAGCATGCCATCTTGAGTCGGCGTGATTTTCCGCCCACTATTCTGCCCCCATCCGTCCAAGCGACACGAAGCCAATGAGCCTTTCACACGAGCGCCGACGCAGCACAGCGGTAGCACCCGTTGGTGTTAAAAATGGTCGTTGGTATGCATACATCCAAACACCCGATCGTGTGCGATTGTACAGATGCGAGACAACCTCGGAACGCTACACTCTTTCACACTACCCCCCACAGCAACACTCATTTTCCATCTCCACACCAACACTGAACCAACAGCATGCGCTCACGTTCGCCTCTGTTTTCTCCCAAGGGGCTCCCAAGGGGATCCAGGAGGAAGATGCAGAAAGACGGCAGGTGTACACCCAGCAGCAGTCTCGCAGGGCACTTGTTTTTTTCCGATGATCCCGGCTTCTTCGCTGTATGAACTCCATTTCTTCGTTTTTCGTAGATTCGACATGTTTGCCGTTGGGGTCGTGGAAGCAACGCATAGACTATGCATACACGCCGGCGCGTTGGAAATACGCAAAGAGCGAGGAGCTATGGGCGGCGAGACAGCGCCTGTCTCTTGCACTAATAGTTTTTGTCATCCGCAACACCAAACAGCACAAACAGTACTGCCTTTTGGGTTGTCGGGGAGGTATCCTTTTTTTGTTTTCTCCACGCCGTCTTTCGGTCACCGCACAGCATGTGTGTGTGTTCAGCATGTGTGTGTTTTTTTGTTTTGTTTGTTTTTCTCCCATCATTGGACTCTGTCGTCTGCCCCTCTGGCCCCTATCCTCCACTTCTACTAGCTAGACGACCCAAACGGGGTCACATAGGAGGGGGGGGTTGGACCCCCTCCTGCGGTTCATGCCTGAGGTATTTTTATCGCGAGAAGGGTACAGCAATCCCTTCCCTCGCGACTTACGAAGTCGATTATGGTTTACTAACAAACGAGCTTTGCAGCGCGTCGCTTTCATCCTAGACCAGGATTTATTTGGTGAGAAAAAAACTCTCTCTGTCGGGACTCGAACCCATGACCTGGCCCTTAGCAGGCTGCGAGGCTACCCACTAGACCACCGGGGCGACCGGGTACGTGTGTGTTTTCGCACTGTTTGTTATGGCGACAACTGCAGTCCCCCCATTTTTCGTGGTGAGACGTGTACTACACTTTTCAGCGTATGCAGAGTACTACACCTTTCAGTGTATGCTTTCGTACAACTACAACCATCCAGGGTCTCACAGGAGGGGGTAAACACCAGGGCTTTTTTGTTGTTATTTCTTTTCATGCCCCACCTTCCTCCTGTGGTGCGTGCTGAATTTTGTTTTTATCGCGAGAAGGGTCCAGCCGTCCCTTTCCCTCTTCAACGGTGCTAACGTCGAAGTTTGGTACTCACGAGAGGTTTTAAGCTATACTTCGCTTTCACTGGCAAATTTCAAAAAAAATCACCCAATGGGGCCTCGAATTCACGACCTCTGCGACCAGCGGATTCCGAGGATACCACTAGACCACCGTGTATCGCCCAATAAAGCGCTTCGTGGCGTTTGGCATGAAAGAGGAGAAGGAGGGGGGGAGATGGAAATTTCACTCCCTTTGTATGTGCGTGTGTAAGTATAAGAAGATACGAATATCCTGGCCTCCACAAGTGGCAGTTTTCGGTGCACGCGCAGGCTACTATGTGGTCGAGTGTTTTGCTACTCTCCATAGACTGCACGAGACACGTTCGAACCTTGGGTTGTGTATTGTGTTTTTGCATCCGCTTTTTTTTCTATTTTTTCTATTTTGCCCCCTCGATTTTCGTCCAAATGGGGGCAAAAATCGCGTCTGTATGTCAGATAGAGACTAAATCAACCCGGATGACAAAAAAAAAATGCATGGTGTCTATTCTAGGGGTGCTTGCCACGATTCCGAAGAGAAAACAGGCAAAAAACACATAAAATCTCTTTGAGTGGTGCCCAAAGTAGGCCATTTTTGCCCCCATAACAGGCAAAAAAACACGGGGATTTCTTGTTTTTGTCCCCGGGCATGCAGGTTTTTTTTTTATAGGAAATGCTTTGTATTACTACCATAACGATGCTTGCCACAGGAAAAGTTCTGGAAATCATTAGAACGTGCGCAATCACTACGGATTCGAAGCGGTCCTTACTCGGAGCATTTGTGTTTTACCGGTATTTTTCCCTGACAAATGAAGAATACTACGCTGGCACCATGTCATCACATGCATTTTTTTTGTTTTTTGTTGTTTCATCGTTTAGTTAGGTCGTGTGATAAGCTAACGTTCGATACCTCTCTGTCGCCACAAATCGTCAAGACACCCGAGAACGACCTCTCAGAGCGGGGGCTCCGTTAAGTGGTCCTTAATCGGCACATTTACTCTTCGGCCGTGCGGTGACGTGGAGGTCGATTTCCGCTCGATTTCCGCTGTCAGTTACTCGCTTCTACAGCAGTGCCCGGTCGCCGTTTCTTCCCCCCCACCGCCGCTTCCCCGGCTCTCTTTCTCTTCGGTCCTGAGGCCGTACTATCTGCTTCTGCTTCCCTCGCGCGCTGGCGCTTCGCGGACGCCCCCGCCATCGCTCCTAACAGCANTCCAGCCGATACACCGTGTCAGGAACTGGCGGTGGGTCCCATTCAGCTTGGTGTAGTGCTCCGCTGCCAGGCTCCACGAGGCGCACCCGTATAGGAGGGTCTGCACCACTTCAGCCTGGAGTAGCCGGATCTTGAGCTGGCGGTTGGCCCATCGCCTCTGTCGTACATCGAAGCACCGTTCCGGCGGTAGCACTTCCACGCTCGGCAGCTGCGGCTCGTGATCTCCCGGTCGGCCTTCCCGTCCGCGGAGATGGTACGTCCGAGGTACACAAACCGATCTGTCTGCTTGTACGTCTGGCCGGCGGCGCTGACCGTGAACGGGCGTTCCTCGATCCCTTTCGGCAGCATGCACATGATCTCCGTCTTTGGCTCCGATACCATCAGTCCGAACAGGCCGGCCACGCGCACGATGACCGACATCATCTTCTCGAGACTCTCCGGCGAGCGCGAGACGATGGCCGCGTCGTCAGCGTAGAGCATGGCCCACAAGGCCTCCGCGTCCGTCACCACCGTCGTTTTCTTCCCCGCCGACCTGCCCTTCTTGCCCGTGTACTACTCCAGTTGCGTCCCGATCTTGACCATGTCCGCCGTCACCTTGGGGTCCTTGTCGAACTCGGCCACGGCTAGCACTTTGATGGTGGCATCCTTCCACTGCTGTGGTACGTCCCCAATCTGCCACACGTAGCAGTTAGGATCTTCTTACTTGACTTCAGAATGAGTTTGATACAATTCAGAGCAACTTTCATTGAGGGGGAGTGTCATGGAAATGTTAGCACATAGCCAGCATGAATCAATGTTCAGTAGCACTGCTCTTGTATCGTCGATCATCGTAGATCTCGTATAGTCTAGTCCAGTCTAGATCTGTGTCTGTTCGTATGTAACGCATGCGGAGGAATACTTATGTAGGATTCGACGCTTGTCTGGACGACTGTCTCACTCTCTCGTGTGCATCCTTCTGAACATCATGACATCTTAGCTGTCGTGGTCATCTCTGGGAAGCAGCCGTCGTCTGGGCTCCTGCATGCTCTGCGGTTTATCTGTGTGTGTGTTGGCCACATGAGCGCCAGTGTTTACGTTATCCACGACATCTTCTCTACAACACGGAAGCNAAGCGTCGGAGCACGTCCCACAATAGGTCTCCGTCCATCGAATCGTATGCCTTGGTGAGGTCGACGAAGCACGCGAACACCGCAGTACTCTTCTTCCTCGCGAGCTCATGGGGCCGCTGGATGGCGAACAGCATGTCGAGCGTCGACCGGTGTGGGCGGAAACCGCTCTGCTCCTCCGGGAGGATGCCCTCTCGCTCGCAGTAGTGGCCCACTCGTGTAGCGACGACCTTAAGCAGCACCTTGCCGGCGTGTGCGACGAGAGAGATGCCCCGGTAGTTGCCGCACTCCATCGTGTCCCCCTTCTTGAAAAGCACTTTGATGGTGGCATCCTTCCACTGCTGTGGTACGTCCCCAATCTGCCACACGTAGCAGTTAGGATCTTCTTACTTGACTTCAGAATGAGTTTGATACAATTCAGAGCAACTTTCATTGAGGGGGAGTGTCATGGAAATGTTAGCACATAGCCAGCATGAATCAATGTTCAGTAGCACTGCTCTTGTATCGTCGATCATCGTAGATCTCGTATAGTCTAGTCCAGTCTAGATCTGTGTCTGTTCGTATGTAACGCATGCGGAGGAATACTTATGTAGGATTCGACGCTTGTCTGGACGACTGTCTCACTCTCTCGTGTGCATCCTTCTGAACATCATGACATCTTAGCTGTCGTGGTCATCTCTGGGAAGCAGCCGTCGTCTGGGCTCCTGCATGCTCTGCGGTTTATCTGTGTGTGTGTGTTGGCCACATAAGTGCCAGTGTTTACGTTATCCACGACATCTTCTCTACAACACGGAAGCACCTCTAGATAGTCTAGTCTTCCAGGCAACACTCTCACAAGTGTCACCACATCGACTAACGTCGATGACACAGCCTCTAGCCACTGTGCCGGGGTATCACACAATATCCATAACACGGGACACTCACTGCGCCGGATGTACCTCGCGGTTTCATCGCGTGAAATTTGAAATCTGTCGTGCCAGCGAGGTAGCGGAGGGTGCGCTTCGCTACCCACATGTGATTCTTGCTCGGCTTCGCCATCGGGCGAGCCAGATGGCTTGTAGCGTACATAATGTCGTAACGCAGTATTTGAGCGAGGTACATGAGGCACCCCACGATGCCCTGGTACCGTCGCGTTTCCTCCTGGTTCAGGAGAATTTCCTCCGGTTGCACGTTCGAGAGATCCGGCCCGAGGCCGGGCGTGCTGGTCGGTTTGCAGGCCGACATCCCAAACCGGTCGAGGATAGACTTGCTGTAGGCTTCCGGAGAGATGGATGGTGTGCCGCGCTCACGGTCCCTCTCGATCTCCATCCCCAAGATGAGTAATGCCTTGCCCATGTCCGTCATCTCAAAGCGTTATTTCAGCTTCTCCTTAACCATCGAGAGGGCGTCGGAATTGTTGCCGGCCAGGAGGAGACCGTCAACGTAGAGGGTCAGGTAGATCAGGATATTGGTATCTTGCTAAGGGGTAGACTAGTCTAGTGACGCACATGCGGCCAGTATATGAGTGGAGACTACGAACAATGTTCTACCGCTCTGAACATGTCTACCAATAAAGGTTCGCCGGATACAGTGACCTTTAGGGTAAATCTCGGAGATGTGCAGAGCTTACGAGGGCCCTCTCTTGCTCAATTCCACCTTTCTTGAAACTAGCACGTTCGAGTAACCTCGGCCGGGCTTGGCTATTCCTCGACACATATCAAGAGAGAAAAAATACTCTGCTAATAGTGAACGGTTAGTCACCAGTTCAGGGACTACTCTGTAGAGAGAAAGGGTATTCTCATTGCAGTTATGCATACATCTCGTGACCCCGCTGTACACCCCTGTTCCCCTGTTCGGAGGTCATTGGGCGGCTAAATACACCCTACCCCGAAGACGTGAGCGATTATTGGAGCTGTTTTCCATTTTCAAAAGCAAGGCGGTTGTCACCGATTCAAGTTCCGCAAGGCCACCGTTGTTGTTGCTCGCGGCGCACAACGCTACACCAACTCGCCAGGCAGATACTGTATCAGAGGGGTGGTTGGTTAGGCGTATGATCCGTACATACACGTGGCAAATTGGCAGAACTGAAGTCACGGAAGCACGAGGCTACTTGCCATTGCGTTTTCACAAATTTGCCCACGCATATAACGTAGAGACGTGTTGGAACTTTCCCGAACCGTAACCCTTAGTATTGTCCCCGATCACACGGTGGTATACGGCTGTACGTATACTTACACAACTCCCGCGGTTCCCTGCTGCATGCTGCGACCATTCGTTCCGCCTGGAGCAGAGTTTTCCGAAGATATCTTACTTACCCTGTGAACACGACGGGCTCCCGTTAATGTTTATTATATCCTCGAAAATCTTCTAGTGGTCAGGGATAGTTCGTCTAGGGGTTCGAATCCCGACGTAAACGAGCTCTGCTTGCAAAGCGAGTTTTTTCTCTCTCGCTTCCGTTTCTGGCCTGGGTGGAAAGCGCTCTAGTTCGTGTGTACACAGAGGCAAGAGAGTGCTGCAAACTCCTCGCATTAAAAATCGAAGGCAAAGTACCGCAGGAGGGGTGGGTATTGAAGTGACGACAATAAAAATTTATGCAGTCTAAACTATGTCAATAGGTCGTTGTCCTGTTCGTATAAGATGTAAGCCGGACCATAAAAACAATTCCACCCACAACAATCGTGCTACCTGTGAAACCATCTCTCCTGCTGCACGTCCGCTACCCCTCCCACTTGCTTTTCTGTCCTCAAAACATGTCGAATGGTTGGAAATACTGTTTCTCATGTGCGGCAGCCGTGCCAGCTTGCTTTCGTAAGTCACTATCACACATGTACAAGCCTCACGGCACGATATGAGTAACACCAGGGCAATGAATCACAACCCAACGTGGACAGGAAGGCAAGCCGCCATGTCCGAGCACGTGGCAACGGTCTTGGGTGCCATGGGGCTAGCTGAGACTATGACGGAGTTTGTGTACGCGTTGGTCGTACGGAAGTCCTTCACGCCCTTCGAGTGTCTTCTTCCTCACTGGTGGTCCCTTCGGGTTAGCGGGGGAATTTGTCGCCGTAGCCTTGGGTACGCGGTACGCGTGGCAGGCTCACTACGGCAGCGAGGACCTCGTTGACACGATAGGCGTCGTGCTCAAGGATCCTATCCAAAAATTGGCATACCCCCACCGTGATGCGAGCGTCATCGTCACAGCCCTCCAGCGTAGGTGTCATGATATCTGACGTCCCGGTTCTCCTGTGGGCATCGTGTTTCCCCGTATGGGGACGTTTCAGCGGTGACGTTGGCGTCAGGCTGTTGCTGAGCATAGTTGCGTCAGTGTGCATCGCGAGTCAGATTGTGTTGCAAATTGTGTGGAGGCACCGCGGGGAAGAGATTCCGTTCTGGATACGGACGTGTATCTTCTGTTTCAAGTACTCACTAGGAAAGGGTGTAGTCTAGAGGTGTATTTGCTAATTTCCAACTCGAACAGGCTGGCTCCGATGAACTGGGAAAGGCACTGATTACGTTCCAGGTGGTGGAACTACTGTCCGTAGCAGCAGTGATTGCGAGGGCGTTGACGTCAAAAGTGTATGACGAGGCCACCGGGCTCGCGGCAGACCAGGCACTACCCCAGGCGACTATTGTCGTTCTCCGCGTGTCAGGGGCAGATCCCCAACTCCAAACTTCCCAAAACAAGGGTAAAGCTGCTTCCCTTCAAAATCGCGGCGTGGCTCTCATATCAAAGGCGAGTAATTGTCCGTTTTCTAGGTCGTGAACTCGTGTCTTTGTGAGCGTATTTGGGTATATTCAGAGGGTGGGCAGCTGTTGTACTGAGCGGGTTCGTTGTAATATATAGTTGTTACTCGATCAAGGACAGTGCGCACACGGGTCGACCGTTTACTGTTTTGTTTGCTGTATGGTGATCAACCTTGCCAAGATGTGTGTCTCTTCTTGACTTGGATTTGTCCAGGGTCAATGGCCCAAGGCTGGGCACCCCCTCAAGCGGGCGCTTGGAATCTTTGAGAACACGCAAGGTCCTGACCATTTGGATTGTGCGCTTGCACTGAACAACTTGGCCAGCTTGCTGCATCTTCAGGTGTGTAATCTGTGTACGTGTTCGGCACCGTGGTTGTGTATCAGCTGTATGTCCGTATTTGAGGAAATCTGTATTGAAAACAAAGTGGCGTTTGAGTGTAGTCTCTATTCACGGGTTGGTTTCCGCGTGTGACTAAGAGTGGCGATTTACAAATCCAGTCATCATACCTCTCGTTCCATGCCGGCCGAGTGATACCTTTAGAATCGCGGTGCTGGGACCTTCATGCGCACCTCGATATCGTTGTGCAGGCGTACATTCGCCATCGTCAAGGTGAGGCCAACGGCCTCTCTCATGGTGTCCCCCCACGTCGTCTTGATACCTTTGTCAATCAATGTACCCACCAGAGCTGGACGCAAGGGGGTGGATATACGGTCTCCATGATACTATGCACGAACTTACAGGGGAATCGAGCTGAAGGATGTGACCCAAAAGCACACACAAACGTAATATATAGAAATTTATACCGTTCTGCGTTGGCTTCACGACGTTGGCTTGCTGTTTCGGGTGAAACGCTGACCGGGTTTTTTGAATAGTGATGAAGTACATGCGGCGCCGAACAAGCGTATTTAAGTGCCCCTTACTCAGTTTCTCAACTTCTGCTGTACCGCATAGATATTTTTGGTGCGGGGTTGTCGGGCATTTCCTCAATCCGATCTTGTGCCCTACCTGCAACTCTGCATTTGTTGTATAGGGAAAGTATGATGAGGCAGTACCCCTGTGTGAGCGGTCCCTTGGGATCCGGCAGAGACATCTCGGTGCTTGTGGCAACATCGATCAACACCCGGGTGTTGTTGCTCTGGAGCCAGGTGAGGGCCGAGCGCTGCTTTAGACATCTCTGCAGTAAAGCAATGCTCCTCAGCAGTTCTAGATCCACTTTGACTCAAATCCGAGTTTTTGCCGCCCTGTTCCTTCCGTACAACGACAAGCAGGCAGACAGCCCTTCTATAAACGGTCGCAAGCCTTGTGAGTGAAGGTTCAGGGCCTGGAGTACCCGGATGTGGCTCAGGCGCTCAGCAACCGGGCCGGGTTGTGAAGCAATTGTTCCTCCACACAGACCATGTTGGCTTTGACGAAACTCTTTCGCCATTTTATCTTCCCTTCCAGGACAAGCACACTGAGGCAGAGCGACTATACGAGCGGTTTCAGGCAGTAGACACGAAGGATATTAGCCCTGAACAACATGATGTGGCGACAACGCTCAACAACCGGGCGTGGTTGTTGAGTATTTTTCACTCGCACATACCTACAGCGTCACCAAACGAATTTCTCTTCCTTTCCCGTGTCAACCCAGGGAAGGTATGAGGAGGCCGAGCCTCTGTCCAAGCGCTCGCTGGCTATCAATGAGAAATATTTTGTTCCTGCCCACCCGCAAGTTGCCACATTGCTCAACAACCGGGCGGAGGTGTTGAGCACGCAGGTGAGAGTCGCCACAACTTTCTAGTAGAATTCTCTTGGCGCCCTGTGCATGTTGTACATGGTGCTCAGCAACCGGCGGGGTTGTTGTACGCCCAGGTGAGAGCCAAGCCATGCTTCTAGGTATGCATCTGGATGCTTCAAGCAAGTATTCCTCCGCGATTTTGTATGTCAATCTGACTGAAGTCCGACTCTCTGCCACGCTGGTACCACGTATCGTGGCAAGTATGCTACAACCGTGGACCATGCCACTTTCATGAGTGGTCGCAAGCCATACGAGAGACGGTTCTGGGCTTGGAGCACGCGGATGTGGCCCAGGCGCTCAAACACCGGGCGAGCGTGGTCGAGAAACCGTTAACCCACAGGCGTAAATCCCACTTTGATTGAATTTGTATAAAAACAACCCTTGCTGCGCTGTGTACTCCTGCATGCCAGGGCAAGTACGCTGAGGCCGAGCTGCTCTATGAGCGGTCACAAGCCATACAAGAGAAGGTGCTGGGTCCGGAGCATCCTCGTGTGGCCACATCGCTCAACAACCGGGCGAGCTTGTTGAGCAAGCAGGTGAGAGCCGCCAGAACGTTCCAGTAGATTTCTCTTGGCGCCCTGTGCATGTTGTACATGGTGCTCGACAACCGGGCGGGGTTGTGGTAACCCCAGGTGAGAGCCAAGCCATGCTTCTAGATGTGCATCTGGATGCAAGCAAGTATTCCTCCGCAATTCTGCATGTCAATCTGACTGAAGTTCGACTCGCTGCCACGCTGGTACCACGGATCATGGCAAGTGTGCTGCGACCGTGGACTATGCCACTCTACGAGCGGCCACAAGACACTCGAGAGACGGTGCTGGGCCTTGAGCACCCGGATGTGGCCCAGGCGCTCAAACACCGGGCGAGCGTGGTTGAGAAACCGTTTACCCGCAGGTGTAGATCCCACTTTGATTGAACTTGTATGAAAACAACCCTTGCTACGCTGTGTCCTCCTGCATGCCAGGGCAAGTACACTGAGGCCGAGCCGCTCTACGAGCGGTCACAAGCCATACGAGAGAAGGTATTGGGTTCGGAGCATCCTCGTGTGGCCACATCGCTCAACGACCGGGCGAAGTTGTTGTGCAAGCAGGTGAGGGCTTTTTGACGTGTTTGGGAACGTTGTGTGAACAGGCGGGATTGAACTACATTGGCAACTGTTTTTGTGATCGGCATGAATTTACTCATCAACCGGACGGGCTTGTTGGGCATGCTTCTTCGCAACCGTAGTTCCGATTGAACTGTTGTCAAGGAGGAAGCCGACCCGGAAGGACTGTGTATCACCACGCTACACTGCGACGGAGGGGGCGAGTTCAAGGGAAGGTTCGCGGCGCTGGCAGCATCACTTGGAATCAAAATCGAGACCAACGCCCCGTACATGCCTCAAGGCAACGCCGTCGCCGAGCGTGGCTTTGGCACGGTCGCAGCCATAACGCGGCGCCTTCTTCTTGGGGCACCTCATCTACCGGAGAGTCTGTGGGCCGAAGCGTTCCAATACGCGATCTATATACTGAATCGCACGCCTACGGACGTCTTGGGCGGCAAGGCACCACTTGAGGTATGGGAGAACAAACCGCTTGGCAGCTTGCACCACATCCGCGAATTCGGTTCGGTATGCTTTAAGCACGTGGAAGCGGGGGACAGGCCCAACAAACTGGCTGCCAGGGCTGAGAAGATGTTTCTGGTCGGTGTCAACCCTAAAAGCCGGTCGTGGAGGCTATGGTCCCCTCGTGACAAGTTTAAGATCACCAACTCCGCCGAAGTTTCTATTCGCGAGAAAGCCCCGCGCGACGTGGTTCCCCCCAAGGCAGGGCATGATCCGCTGCCAGAGACTCCAATGATTTACCATCCCGGTCCGGAAGAGTCTGATGACGACGTCGACAGTGTGGTGGAGCCACAAGACGAGCAGAAGGATAACGAGCCGGAGCCCACGCCTCAGGCGCAAGAGCCGGGCCCCCGTCGCAGCACCAGGAACCCCAAGCCGACTGAACGTCTGAACCTGTTTACCTTTGCCACGGAGGAGGAGGCCTTCGAGCAAGTGGAACGCTCCCTGACCAAAAGTTCATCGCTTGGCA